TTTCTTAATGTTTTCATAATTCATTACATAAATTTTAATAAAAATCCTGGCTTTTTAGCTAGTTCTTCACAGGGCAGAGGTTTTTTTTTTCGAACCAGTTATAAAGATCAAATTAACAATGAGTATTCTTGTAATCTATATTAAATAAAAATAATTATATTCTATTCTGTATTATAATATTATATTTATATTCTAAACTGACCAATAAAACTAAATGCAGCTGTTACACTGACGTGGAATTCGGTTTTAGTTAGTAGTTTAAGTATACGTGCCGTCCATTCATCTGTTTCATTCTTGCAAATTACAAATTAACTTAAGGTAATGTATTATTAGCGAGCACGAATTTCTAACAATGCCGGATACCAACGTCTATGATTTTAGTAACAAATCATAAACAAACGGCTTATGGCTCACGAGTTCACCAAATAAGGTACTTAGGATGTCGATGTTCGGCTCTTGCTCAAAGGATTTATGTAGAGTGCTTTTGGCGCAAATTAACCGAGTGTCGACTTGTAGGCGTTAGCGCACAAATTTGTAGCAGCACTCTCATCTCATGGTAATGTAAAATACTCTTTTAATTTATTAATCCCCAGGCAAGGTTCCTTTCCCCACTATAGGAAAGGAATTGGAAGTATCAATTTTATGTTTCAGAAATACAATTCAATCACATGCTTCGATCCATAACAAACACTGTACAATTTTTCGTAATATTCTTAATAAAGTGAATATAACTTCAATTGGGTAATGTATATATAATAGAACTCATTTTATGCCTAAGCTTCGGTCACACACGAATTCAACTCGCGGCGAATAAATCTAATTGCAGCGAATAGTGTGTCACACATAGTGAATTCTCGTTGCGTAATCGCAGCGAGTATTCGTTATGTGTGACCGAGGCTTTACCTATTTCCGCCGATGAGCAGCAGTATAAGTGTAATTGGCTAAATTGGTAAATTGACGGCTCCGTGGCGCAGTGGCTTGACACTGAATTGCAGCGCTAAGGGCCGCGAGTTCGAATCCCGCACGGAACAAGTATTTGTATGGCCTACAAATAAATGTTCTAGGTCTGAATGTTTGTCCTTGTGAAATCTATGTGTGCAAACTTCCCCCGCGGTACAGAAGAGAATCCTAGTGTGGAGGTAACATTTATTTAAAAAAAATACGGGCTGTGAATCCTTCCATCTTGGCTCTTAGTAGTTAAGACACACTGTGACCATCTTTGTTTGAAATTCATGGTAGGTGTTAATAGGCTGCAATAGTCACTATAGTTCGTCTGTATAAAAAATAGTTCTTAATTTTTTTTTTATATAATAGTGTAACAAACGAGCACACAGTCCACCTGATGGTAAGTGAATGCTGTGGCCCATAGACATCTACATTTATCCTCAATTAAGAATCAAAATGCAGATGCGTTGTCACCCCTGAGGACTAAGATGGAATGCCTCTTTTCCAGTAAAAAGGATCCCCGGTTCTCTACACTCACCATACGAAACACAGCAGTAATGAGCTGCTATTTTACGCTGGTATTCTATGAGAGCGTGGCCCTTCCCTTCCCTGGTCGAGCCGACCCATTCGTGCTACAACCATAATATATCTGCAGCGTGGCTCTACCACGTATAAATGTCAGATTACTTCCATCTTTACAAAACGTAATACATTCATAAGTTTCCGTTCACTAAAAGTCTTCTACTGTAGTGTAATGTAATTATATATCACAGTAATACCGATCCGTCAAAATTATTACGCTATAATGAAATTGTAAAACAATTCAAATTAATACTTGGTGATATCAGTAGACCAAATCTTGAATGGACCGCATGCCAAATGTGCGTGGTAATACGTGGGTGATACATGCACCGATCAATCATACGGAATGGAGTTGTCCAATTTGCGGTACCGCGACTACTTCTTATTATTTTTGTAATAACGCCATCAAGAATGATGTAACATAAGTCAGAGCTATCGTTGGTGAAAGGCAAGAGGACCAAATTCGAGTTTTATTTTTAAGTTTACGTAAAAAGCTTACTATTAGTATTTATATTATTTTCTACTAAGTCTAAACCGATGACTTAGCCAACATTATTTTAATACTTCTTACAAAATATGTCTGTAAGTGAAAATAACTGACAAATTAAAAAAAAAACTATAAACCGTTAACCGTTACAGCCTATTAAAGTCCAATGCTGAACATAGATCTCCTCCATAGATTGCCTCATCGAGGCATATCGAGGATATCTGCCATAGTTGCCACGCTTGGCAAGCGGGTTGGCAACCACAGTTTTTTTAGTCGTTATTAGGAAGACACCGCTGCCCATCTGATTTATTTACCTCTGTCGCCTCTTACGACACCCATGGGATGATATGGAGTAGTGTATAATAAATTGTAAACGTAAATTACATATTAATTGTGTAGTGGTGGTGTATATATATATATGTACACAGGTGGTGTATATGTATATATCTCATTATTAGTAAGATTTTTAATCACGTTCAAATCGAATAGGTAATTGTATGCTTGGGGTCTTGTGCCTTTATCAAAAAGTGAAATGGCATATTATTTGATATCAGTAACCGCTTTGAAATTTTAAATCGCTTAATGTTTTGAAACTTTCGTGGTAAAATCGATTTCAAATAAAGTGCGAGAACGCTCTAGTTGAGATTAAAACTGTCAATACAGATAATGCTCAGCGTCTGTAAGGAAACTTGTTCGTAGGTAATATGTATTTAAGGCATAATAAAGTAGTCAATAAAGTTATGTCAATTATTAATTGAAAAAAGTCGTGGTTTCGGTATCAAGTGATCTAGATTCTGATGTCGTAAGTATGTGGGCGTGCACTGAAGGCGAGCGTAGGAGCTGACATCGATCAGATGGTCACCCTGCCGCTCTGGTCGCGTCATTTCGCAATTTCATTATATATTTTAATTTACCGATGGGTCTTGAGTATCAATTTTATTTTGTTGTATTTTATTTTAAAAACCAGTACATATTATCATTTTATTCACAAGATATCATATCACCAAAGATTAATATCATATAAATAATTTTTAATACAAGGACAATTCGAGTGATGCAAATGGCTTCCATTTGCATCACTCGAATTGTTATATATACCCACATCTTACTTTCCTTCCGTCCTAGGTCAAGAATTTAAATGTAGATGCGTTGTCCGTTGTCTAAAGAGGAATGCCTCGTTATCTGAAAGGATTTTTATTGGAACTTACCATAAAAAACACAGCTACTATTAAACTTTGATATTATTTGGAAGCGTGGTCCTTCCCCGATCGATATATTTTTAATACAAACATCATACCTCATCGTCTAACACGTAAATTATAGGGTAAGTAAACAAAAAAGCTTACCAAATCACAACAAGATGTTGCAGTGACAATTGAGCAAAATTTTAGAAACATTTTTATCTTGACTACAAATTTACTGAATTCCTCTCCTACAGTTGCCGAGTCATTATTCAAATAAAATGTAAATTTCTGTACAAGATAATTAGCATTTCATAAAATATTATCAGAATATATTGTAAAATATTTCCAAACTATTCATATTAAACAAAACCACAGATCTATAGAATATTTCCGGTAGTTATTGTGCACCCCACCTTACTATTGTTTTATTACTATTATCGAACCTGATATGTTTAATGATTTTATGAAACATAGTAAAGTCTCTCATACTCAAATTTCAAGCACTTCCCGATGAGCTAAGGACTTGAAATTTTAAACATAACTCAGAATCGAATGATAATGTAGGAAAGATAATGAAGAAAAAAAAACTTAATATATATAAAGTATCATATATTAAGTTTTTTTTTTTAATAGAAACGAATCGTTCCATTTTTTTCGTATTCCTACATTATCATTCGATTCTGAGTTATGTTTAAAATTTCAAGTCTCTAGCTCATCGGAAAGTGCTTGAAATTTTAGTTGCAAGATTACACCCGTAACAACAGACAAACAAACAAGAAAGTGACTTTAAAAGAACGTGGTAAAATCAGTTTTGTTTTACAACTGACGCCAGTATTAAGTTTTAATAAACATACTTTCTTTGCATGGTAAAACTCAGAAGATGCTTTGGGAATATGTTATGACCTTTCCAACTGAGTTAATCATGAGATATTAATCAGTAATCTACATTATTATAACTTACCACTTAAACTTATTACATCATATTTAAGTCATAGAACGCAAACTTGTTATCAATAGGTGTAGTTCTTCCGGGTCGGAGTGTCTATGGATGTTCCTCAGGGCTCAATTCTTGGCCCCTTCCTGTTCGTAGTTTATATAATGACATACATACCTTACCTCGTAGGGAATACAGCAAACCATGATATAATTTTATGTGCTGATGATACTTAGTTGATACATAGTTTTATTATATTGATGTTAATTAAATAATTACATTAAATTTGACCCATGAGTACATTTACGAGAATTTTATGTATTTACACAAAAACAAAAATTGTTTTATTAAAATTATATATAGTAGGTAGTACATAGGTAGTGCATAGGTATATGCACTCTATAAATACAAGAAACAAGCACGAACGAGAGATAGCAGTTACTCTACTCCAAAGAGTCAGTAAGTCCTTCATGGCATGACCTGTCTATCAAAAAGTATTAAGTTTACAAAATTAAACAAAAATTGCTTAAAAGGGGTAAATAATAATACTATTAAAGAGTACGTTACTGATAATAATCCATGGGAATTTTTCTTTTACAAATAGAACCCCGCTGGGTTTCTTGCTGGTTTTTCCTAGGACAAAGGTTTTTTATGAACTAGTGATAACAGCATAAATGATTTATAATAAGTATTCTTGTAATGTATATTTAATAAAAAATATTCTATTCTATTTTGTACAACCAGTATATTGTACAACCAGTGCGTGTTGCCTGTGATGACTTACGGATCTGTGATGATGATGATGATTCTGTTCTATTATATTCTAATAAGCAATGTTATTGTTACAGGTCGGTGGCGCACGAGCCCGATGAGCGCGTGCGCGACGGCCGCCATGCGCGAAAAACACGCGGCGCCGCGCCGCCTCGCCTCGCCGCCTTCTTCTCCCCATGACCACCACCTCAGCCCGATCGGCTCCCCACGTGCCGATGAGCCTCTCGACCTCAGAGTAACTCACAAACGCCCGCAACGATTAGAAGACGAGAACTGCAACTTGATCGTGCCGTCTCCACCACCGCACCCTACGCATCCGGCTCACCCAGCACACCCAGCCTTGCTCCAGTTCTGTCGACGATTACCGTTAGCTTTACCAGCCTCTTTTGGCCGCTACCCTTTCCTTCCAGCGGCGGCAGCAACTCTGCTCGCACCGGGTGCGCCACGACCGCCACCTGTCCCCCCGAACCCCGGAGCAAATAGAGCCCGAGATCGATACACATGCTCATATTGTGGCAAGGCATTCCCTCGCAGCGCAAACCTGACCCGACATTTAAGGACCCATACAGGTGAACAGCCTTACCGCTGTAAATACTGTGAACGGTCTTTCTCCATTTCTTCAAACCTCCAGAGACACGTGAGGAACATTCATAATAAGGAGCGACCATTCCGATGTCGTCATTGCGATCGCTGTTTCGGACAACAGACCAACCTAGATAGGCATCTGAAGAAACACGAAGCAGAAAATGGAGATGAAAGCCGTCGAAGATCACCAGAAGAGACATATTTTGAAGAGATTAGATCGTTCATGGGACGCGTGGCTCCAGCCCGTCGCACCGCCGCTGCGGCCGCAAGTGGCGTCGACCACACCTGATAGTTGACGTAAGGAATAAAATTCGCCGTTACAATTATCTGGTCGATGCATCCAAATGATTCTTGTGTACGATACCTTATAATATATTGGAACAATAACACGCGCCAATACAACAACAATTAAACACATTACTAAATGACCTACATTCCTTATCCCTCCCATTCCTTTTTTTCTGTTTCCAACATGTAATATAATAAAACTATGTATTATATAGATGCTGTACATATTCCTAATTGTTACCGAATCCTCTAGATCTTATCTGTTATTTCTGGCGCAAATAAGTGAGAACCGTAGTCACTTGCCACAATGTCGGTTAGTAGCGATGGTTGTATTAACGAAGTGATAATGTGTTTGTAAATATAAAATGTTCAAAATAGTTTAGTTCCCGTACCGAATTTTGACTACCGATAGAAATAAAATAGATATACAAATATATTCCTTGTGCGTAAACGATAAACATGTTTAAATAGACTAAATATTCAAAGTGTTCGCTATTTTAGTGTTACAATTTATAAATTAGTATTGTTTGAATGTAAGTAGATTTCTTGTATTATTATTTTATGTAAATTTCGCTTCTCTAAAGTAAGTAGTATTGTAGTCTGAAAGGAAACGCCGGTTACCAATAAATATGTTTAATTTGTTGCTTATTAAAAATATTATAAATATAAATATTTTAATGAAATGTTAGAAAAGTTGTTTAGAAATGATTGGATTACTGTGAAGATTATTGTGTGTTGCGTAAATTATTTAGTTTTATTGCTTAGTTTCATTACACAGACAAAAGTGCTAAAATTTTCTGTGTATTTCACCATTGTTAAGTTTCCAAATATTACGCAAATCAAATATATTATTTCATGTTTTGAGATTTTAAATTAGATTTATATCGACAATTACAAATGTATTACAAAAGGCAACATTAAAATAAAGCATTTTCTAAATTGAAGCGCTAAATTAAGTTTCATATTATCTGTGATTTTATTTATTACTTGGCTGGAATTAGAATCGTTAACAAAACCTTATGTTTAAAATCTTTCAAAGAACTACTTTAAACGTTCCTTTAAGAATAGATAGATCTCTAGTGTTGTTACGAGTATATAAGTATCTAAACATTTAAAAGTAATTAATAATTAAAGCCATAAAGGAAACGTCTCATTTTTCAATGGAACTAATACATTTATAAACGTTTTGTTAAAAAATTCAAAACGTTTATAAATGTATTTATATATAAAAAGTAACGATTTAATGCAAAAAAATTGTAGTTTTGGAACAAATTTAAAATTTATTTAGTTTAATACGCCTTGTTCAAAAAATTTGTAGCGGAAGAATAAAGCGGTCCCAGATACATCTATACAAATAACTGTGCAAATATTTTTAAATGCTTTCATGTCCAAACAATCAAAATAATTTAACTATTTCCAAGACGCATAATATTTTTCAATCGGTTTTAGTATAGACCCACATCTTCATATCCTTCTTAAAAATGAGAGAAACCCTGCACCCAGTAGTAAAACGAACATACACTATGTAACTGTTGCAGTCGTTCGTGGTCTGCGGTCGACACTTACCATCAGGTAAGCCGCATCCTCGTTTGCCCCCTCTTCTATAAAAAAATACTGTTATTTTTTCATGTGGATAGTGCTGATTGCATTATAAATTTAGATTGATTTGTTACCAACAGCTCTTTACCATTGTGTGAATGTCATGCAAACAATTGCTATTCTTTTTAATTGAAATACTAGCTAAAGAAGACCAAATGTTTCATAAGCATTTTTATCAATCCAATTTTTCCACATTTCTGGGACCATCTTTAGATCAGGCGCTAGAAGCAGTAAGTTTGCAGCACTTATGCAATTCAAATCGTAAAAGTTTTTGTAAACATTAGAGTGTAGAATTAAAGTATTAATATATTTTGTACGATAATATTGTCACATTTTTCCTAGTTCGTGAATATAGAGATATAAAATTTTTATTAATTATACAGTGATACCTTGTTATATATTCAATAAGTTCATAATATTTATAGTTTAATATAAAATAATGCGCTCTGACTTAATTTCGGAATGCATCAAGTTGCCAATTGGCCGCCAGAGCAAAATTAATTTTTGCATACGGCAATAATTGAAGTACTAATGTTTATTTGTACCAAAACAAGTACAATCGAATTCAAAAAACATAACTTTTCCAAATTTTTTTTTCTTATATTGTACAAAAGATAGCCGAAAATGGAATATCTTCTTTGCTTTTTAAAATTAAGTATTAAAACCAAAAGTATATTAATTAATGGCTACAACAATTTCGTTACGTAAAACATTTAAAATTTAGTAATTTGCAAGCATTTTTATTAATCTTTACTTTGTCGTACAACAAATGTGCTTTGTTACTTCTGTTTTGTGTACTCGTACCAAATAAACTATTGACACATATATAAGAGATGCTATTTAACTTATCACTAGAATGTAGAAGAAATAGAGATTAGCCTTTGTCGTTTTGTACTTTTGATACCTATTAGTTATTCAAAGGTCACCGATTACCTTGTCAAAATGAAATAAATAATACGATTTTTTTTTCAGTTTTTTTTTTCTTTACCTGTTCCTTCACAGTTGATTAAACACACAACGAACTATATTTATATTAAAATATATAGTATTATATGCTGCTTTCAAAATAAAATAGAACGTAAAATCGCACCTAAATTACCCAAATCCGGCATTTGACGGAATAACCATACCTGGATAAGACTAGGTCTTTACTGTAAAGCAGGTTTTAAATTGCGAGGCACTTAATGAGTGCGATAGTCTCAGTTCACCTAGCGTTAAAACTTACCTAAGAAGAAACTCTTTAAAGACTTCAGAGTTAAGACCTTGTAGGACCAAGTAGTGATAGAGTTTATATGTATGCTCTCAGCGTATGATGACTGCAGCACGAATGGGCCGTCTCGACCAGGGAAGGACCGTAATACCACAGAATACTAGCGTAAAATAACAGCACAATGCTGCTGTTTCTTATGGTGGGTATTTAGAATGGAAACCCATTTCACTAGTAACGACGCATTCTGGGATGGCTTCGCATCTACATTTTGATTCTTAAACGAGGATAAATGTACGTGTCTTTGAACCATCAGATGAACTATGTGCTTGTTGGACATCCTTATTTCAATTAAAAATAGTAGAAATAGTCAACTCATAACAAAGGAGTTAAGAAAATTTCCTTAAGGCAGCTATACATGTTAACCGAGCGAAGGCGAGTACCAACGTATAGACAACCCATCTGTTTAACCTCGCCATTGCTCGTCGGCGCTCGCCTAGCTGGACGTGTGCAGGCGAGCGCCAACGTGTATACGCGCTTGGCGTGCCTTGCCACTCGGGATCACACGCCACGACTGGTCTCACTTCGGAACAATGTCGGTGGTTCTGCACAAATCAAAGGCGCTCACCAGCACTCGGCAAGTCGCGTCCACATGTTAGTCGTCCATGTCAGTTACAGCTTGGCGTCCGTGCCTGTGAGATGTTATGTTTTAATTAAGTTGCAACTTCAAAATAATTTTGACAATGTCACTGCCTCTTTTTTTTACAACTTTACTACAGAGTACACTGACAATAATTTTATTAAATAAATAGCAGAAGCTGCAATAACTTCTACGTGATCCATATCGTTCAAATTCTCAATGAAACCTAATTACGGCCAACATGTGGATAGCTCCACAAAAACTCTTAAACATTGGCAGTTGTCATTGGTCTCTTTCGAACTTGACCAACGTGAAGACTGTAGTACTCGCCTTGTATCAATTTGCCTACTCTCGCGTTGGCTGAGGCTTGGGCAACATGTATTGCTGGGGTTAAACTGAAATTCGAACATCGGATAACAACATCCGAAGTAAAATTTCAATATTAGTTGGCTTAGGACGAAGACTCAACATGGATCAGTTTGACCTCAATGTCTTCTTTATCAACCCATTACAGTCCTCTGTTGGGGTCAGGCTGAAAACCAGTTATTGAGTTTATCTGTCAAGAAATTCTTAGTAGCGACCCAGAGTGAATAAGCTGAAAGTGTTTTACACCTGTTGGTCAGATTGAGGGTATAGAGAGTGCACATGTGTTTACGCAGCAAACTATGCAGTATAATCCTGACCTTCGCATTTAGCTAGTGTCAGTTAAGACTGGCTGCCATGACCGAAATTCGATCTGGAGGAGATTACAATGATTTGCTTACAGATTATTTAAAATCAGATAGTGGCATATAAAAAGTAGCTGTATACTGGGTGGCGTGGGTAAGGTAAATACAACACCCAATTTTATTCCGCGGTTGTTGTAGAAAGCGACTGAAACGCCAGAAAGATCTTTTGGCTTCCGGTAGATGGCGGTATACCATTTTGTTTTCAACAGATATAAAATGTCCATGACCCATGTCCAGCGTGAACTTGCAACGGGAGAGGTTAATGTTCAGCGGTGAAATTCAACGGGCTGACGGAAAACGAGATAAAAGAAAAGTGGGCGTAGAATCCGATAGTAAAATGGATGGTGTCATGCAATACGTAATAAGACTTATAATGCTGCCTTAAAACATGAACTTATCTCTATAAACATAAACACGAATGAGATCTAATTCAAATGGTATTCAAATAGTAAGCCATATTGGAGTCGAAGGGCGCCGGAGGCGGGATTCGTTGCGCACTCTCGACCGCCGTTTACGATACGATAATACTTTATTGCCATTAATTTGCGACAAACGAAACCGCCCAGAAACATCTAGACCGCCATATTGGCAAACCATTCAATTTAATTGATCGTTGTATGCAACTGTTTATAATCCATCACGAGTCAATAACTTATTTTTTACTTTTAGAAAATTTAAAAAACTATTTATGATATCAGTTTAAAGTAAATAAAAATAATTACATGCTATGAAGTTTTTTGGCCTGGTCAAATTATTGTTTTGATAAACTCAAAACACCTTAACTAATTTTATTTAATTTAATTTACACAATTTACTGAATAATAATC